TGGAGTCCACGTGGCCAACAGCGAACCAAGGGAAGGAAAACCCAGCTGGCTTTCAGTTAGAGAATCTGCTTCAGACCAAACCAACAGGCTGATAGAATATGTCAGGGATTCTGGAGCCCATGGGGAACCCCCTCCAAACCCTCCCCACCAAGCAGAGGTGAAGGGGACCTTCGCCAAGTTACCACTGGGGACATGAAATTGAAAGCAAAATTAGGGCCAGGCCCCTGCAGGATGAAAAAGGGCTGAGGTAAAGAAACACAGCAGGGCCTACCCCTGGAGGACAGGCCTGCCGGGGAGCCAGAGGGAAGCCTGAGAATTTTCTCACTCACTGTGAACTCCATGGGGCCTCAACAGAGACCTAAAGGCCCAGGAAACAATCAAGCATGCTCGATGGTTGTGCTGTTCAGAAGACTAAAAGAGCTGGGAGGCATTACCTTGACTTTACCTAGTCAGAATTTTATATCATGTCTTTCTAATCCTTACTCTAGTTTTTTCTAAACGTTTGGCTTTACTTTTTTCCTACAGTGGTTGTTACCCTTTTAAGGTAAAGCTCCATCAAAAAATTTCTAATCTGTCTTGCAAACCTGACAGAAAAGTACGTCTACCTGCAATGAGTTCAGGAGTGCTGCGAGGGCTCAGACCTGGGAGCCCAAAGGGAAAAGAGAAGGGGAAGAGAGGGAAGGGAGGCGGAGAGCCCCTGGGGCTAACGAGGCCTGGGGTCTGCCTGTAGTCCTGGCCTCCCCGCTCTTCTTCCTCGGCGCCGGGAATCTTCTCTGAGGATGAATTCCCTTGTAACGATGTTTTACAACCTCCACCCTTTCTTAATGTTGCAGCCCATCCCAGCCCTAGGTCTTTTCACCACCCATCTGCACATACCACACCCCAGCCCAGTGTGCACATTCTTGCCTCACAAGCGGGCCAAGACTCACCTCCTCTCAGATGCTTTCCCAGAAGGATGACCACAGGCTAGGACGGCCTGTGCTTTCTACTGGACACATGTGACTGCGGTTTGCAAAGCAAGACCTTTAGAAAGAGAGCGACTTTGTTTTAAGTACACATGCTTTTTGTCAGAAACTTTACTGCCAGAGACAGAAACACAAACTGTAATATGCATTATAAAGGAATGAAAATCTCATGGACTATTAGCCAAAATGTCAACTATTCTATAAAACATTACTCCTTTGGAAATCCAGAAGCAGGGGTGAAGGATGGGGATGGGGATGGGGATGGCTGCTCCCCTGCATGTTTTTTCCGAGAGGCCATATGACGTAGTGGTTAAGAGCACATGCTTCAGAGCCAGGAAGTCTGGGTCAAATCCCAGTTCTGCCACTTACTAGCTGTATAATCCTGACTCAACATCTCCCTGCCTCAGTTTCCTCATCTATAAAATCTGTGTCAAAAGAATAGTAGATCCCTCACAAGGTGTTTGTGAAGGTTAAATCAGTCAATAAATATAAAGACCTAAAAATAACACCTAATACATACTGTTAGCTATTGCTGTTTATTACTATTATTACTGCTACTGTAGAATAAGAGATGAGAGTAGTCATGTGCTCAAAGGAAAAGGGAAAGGGGAAGAGAGCTTTAGAATAAATGTAACTGGGCTGGCCGACCACTAATAAACATGTCAGCAATAATGAATGTTCTCAGTAGCTACCCAGGCATGTCTCTAACAGCATCTTTTCACTCCAGGGTAACAGAGGATGAAGATGGGGGAAAATCTATGCATGATTGTAAAAACCACAGCTCCTCCCCAAAATCCCACCTCACCTACTTCTGGTGCTTGAAATGACTTCAAATAGACACAAAGCATTTTCATTTCACAAGTAGAAACAAAAGAAGTTACTCACAGGTCACTTTAACAGCAGTCTTCAAAGATGAGAAAACAAAAGATATAGAAAGGTTAATACTATATACTAAGGGAAAAAACGAACTTCAACCCCTACTCTCATACTATAGCCAAAATTAAATCAAAATATTTAACAAAGTTAAAAAATAAAAGCTAAAACTATAGAACTTCTAGAAGAAAACATAAGAGAAAATCTTCATGACCTTGAAGTAGGCAAAGATTTCTTAGGACACAAAAAGCACTAACCATAAAAGAAGAAATTGATAAATTTGACTTCCATCAAAATTAAAACCTTCTCTTCTTCCAAGGTCATCAAGAATTTAAAAATCAAGCTGCAGAGTGGAAGAAAATATTCACAATACATATATCTGACAGTGGATTTTTATTCAAAATCTAGAAAGAGGTCTTGCAGCTCAGTTATCACAAGCAACCCAATTTTTTTTAAATGCGCAAAAGATATAGGACTAACCAATAAGCACATGAAACATCACTGGCTATCAGAAAAAGCATGTTGAAACCAAAACAAGATACCATTTCACATGCACTATAATAGCTGATATTTAAAAGACTGCAATACCAAGAATTAGCACAAATGTGGAACAACTACAACTCTCCTATCCTGCTAGTGGGAATGTATAACTGAGGCACTGCTTTGAAAAAACTTAGTTTGGCCCATTCTTACACAGTTGAAGATATACTTGCCCACACAGCCCAGAAAGCCACTCCTATTTACCCATAATAAAAACGTATGTCCATAAAAAGCCAAGTACACAAATGCTCTTAGCAGCTTTACTGAAAATAGCCAAAATCCCAAATGTTCAGCAAGTGAATGGATGAACAAATTTTGGTATATTAATACAATGCAGTTCTACTGAACAACAGAATGGAACAAGCTACTAATATATTCACTGTGGGTGAATCTCACAGGCACTACACTGAAAGGAGTTGGACATCAAAGAGAACACACTGCAATGACTCCATGTATGTGAAATTCTAAGTCTAAAATATCCTAGAGTGAGAAATCAAGTCAGTATTTGCTTGGAGTAAAAGGTGGAAGTGGGGCTAAAATGACTGCAAAGAGACACAAGGAACTTTCTCGGAAGATGGAAATGCTCTTCTTAATTGAAGGAGATGGTTAGACTGATGTATATATTTGTCAAAATTAACTGACTCATCCACAGAATGTGTAAATTTTATTGCATGTAAGTCATACTTGATTTAAGTTAATGAAAAATAAAGCTTTTGATATTCGTCATATAAGTTATAGCTAAAAATTTTCTATTAAAAAGAAATATGAACAATTAGACTAACAAATTCCTGTGCAAATGAGTATTCCAAGCACATTTTGGGTAGTAAGATTTTATTTCAATTTTTTTTTTTTTTCAGCAAAAAACAATGGCGTAGAGATCTCATTTCAAGAAAACTATTTAACTTCAAAAAGTACATTCCATATTTACATGCTTTGAGATTACCATAGTTTAAATGCCATGCTATACATATGATACAATCATCCTAACACAAGGTAAATTTTTAAAAATAACTTATGCTTCCTGTAGATCAAAAAGAATTTTTCAGCTGCGCAACCACAAAATTATCACCTAACATTATATTTACCTTTGAGAAAAAACAAAAGAAGCCCGACTCTTCTAAGGATGCCAAAGACTTGCATAATCCTGAAGAGGAAAACCAGCATTAAAATATTCTCAGATCAGTGGAAATGCACCTCAAACATTTTTCTCATGCATGATTAAAAGCATTTTCTTGGCAACCAACGCAAAATCAAGACCATTTCACTCAGATCATATGCCTTTTGAGTCTATTAACAAGCTCATGCCTGCCTCAGACAACCTAAAAGCACTACTCTTTCTGATGCTTTTCTCTGTAAATGCTAACTCTAGTATTATCCTAAGAAAGAGCAGCTTCAAAAAAATCAATAAATTGACTATCTAGAATTCGCAGTACAATGAATAAAAAATAACACACAAATAACACAGCTAACTGGTGTTTCCCTCTCAGTTCGAGTCAACAAATCTTCATTGTTCAAGTACTAGAGGGGCAAATGGGAAAAAGAGAAATCGAATCGTGTTGAAATGGGCTGGATCATGTCCCCCTAACGTTCACACGTGGACGCCCTAACCCCCGGCACATTAGAATGTGACCCTATTTGGAGACAGGGTCTTTACAGAGGTGACTGTGGGGTGAGCCCTAGTTCACTATGACCGGTGTCCTTATAGGCAGGTGAAATTTGGACGGGGGCACACACGGAAGGAAGCTGACATGAAGAGACAAAGGAAGGTGATGGCCATCTGTGAGTCATGGAGAGAGGCCAGGAATAGGTCCTTCCCACACAGCCCTTAGAAGGAACCAACTCTGCTGACATCTTCATTTTGGACTTCCAGTCTCCAGAACTGCAAAACAATAAATCATCTGTTTTTTAAGCCACCCCATCTATGGTACTCTATTACAGCAGTCCTGGCAAACTAATGCACCATATACTAAAAAGGCGTTTGGAGATGCTTATAAACAAACCACTAGATCACCAGGAGGACTGGGAAGAATGCTGAGGTCGTATCCACCCATTTCAAGCGTGTAAACATTCTGATCGTGGCTGATTTTAAACTACCAACGCGTTAGCAACCTGAAAGAAAATTGCATCCTCACAAACCACTACAAGCCAGCTCTAGCACAGAACTAAAATGCGGGCATCAGTATTTAATATCCACAGGTGACTGCAACATTCAGCCAAGGTTAGAACCACAACTAAAACTTGCCGGGCAGCTTCACAAAAGTAGTAAGATTGTTAAAATACAGAATATTTTAAAAGTTAGATGTGGGGAAAATACACTGCACCATGTAAAAGCAGCTTAACAATGGTGAAAAAATAAATGATGAATAAAAAATAAGACCTAACATTTACCGAATACTTACTATGTTCCAGGCGCTGTTCTAAGCCTATTACCTGTACTAACGAACTCCATCCTCACTATACCTGTGAGATAGTTCTATTATTATATACCTCCTTTTGAATAGTAAACTGAGCGGCAGAGAGGTTAACACCCACAGCAAATAAGCGAGGAAGCGAGGATTCAGCACAGGCTGTCTGGCCCCAGACTCTGTGCCCAGACCACTGCTCTGTGCCCTCTGGTCGAGCATGCCATCTTTAGAGCATGGCAACAGGTCTGGGGTAGCCAGAGCCCAGAGTGAAGGACAGGGAACCAGGTGGCAGAAAGTGGGCCCTACTTCTGGCTTCAGGTATGTTAACTTACACAAGGAAGGGGTTTGCACATCAAACTTTTGTAAAATGAATAATTTTAAACCCTTTCACATAACTTGTTATTTAAATACATCAAATCAAATTAGAATTGACAATACCTAAAAGTCTGCAAGGAAAAATCTCTCTGTAAAACAAAATCACCACCTCATCTTGTGTCTAAATTCTGATTTTTTTAGGGTAAGAATTGCTTTTCAGGCAAAAAGAACCTGTAATGGCTTAAGGGCAATCAGCATGGCCCAGAACCTCTAAGAACAAAAGCAGCAAAATCATCCCGATTCCCTGAGCCACGAGGGGGATTCTGGAAGATGAAGCTGCGCTCAGTAAGTGCCCTGAGGACAGGCAGGACCAGCCACACACTTTCCACGTCTGAGGTCAGAAGGAAGGCCCGGGAAACCTCACATCACCCCCCGGGAACTGCTGAGCTTCAGCACTGCTGTCTACACGGAGCCAGTATTGGAACTGTCATTTTTAAAAAAATCGTTCTTTATATCTCTGTGTTTGCAGAGCATCATCGTAGTACATCAGCGCTTTGACAGAGGTAGCATTTCAGTATATAAGACAACGGCAGGGGTAAATAAAACACGCAGGTCCCTGAAGTAAAATCTACGTCCTGTTAGTCCAGAAAACGAGATAAGGTGGAAGGAAACATGCAGGCAGGGAGCAGGATGGAGGCTTCTCTCCCCAAGCAGAGCCTCAGAGCTGACTGAAGGAGGCCCTTCTCTCTGCAGCCCCAGGAAAATGACAGAACGGGACGAGAGGCTAAGCTCCGTGTCTCTCTGCGGCAATAAGCAGGTGGGAAGGAGGCAGATATGACAATCAGCCTGCAGGCCGGGCTGTTCCCACTGTTCTCTGGCAAGTGGAAGTGGGTTTTATTCCATACGGGTGGGCAACCTCTCGTCTCACTCAATTTAACCACCCACGATAAACTCTGCGATATGCGGGGGTTGATGTTAAGAGTTACATAAAAGGCTGTAAAATATACTTACCTATAGGGTAATTCATACATACATGCCACCCTGGCTTAGCAACTGGAAACTGCTCAGACTTAAAAGGGGCGGTAATCACTTCATCAGGCCCTTCCAAATCCCCAACAGTTCAGTCAGAGCCACAACTGGTCTTTGCATTCCTATTTGCACAGAGGGACTCTACTTGAACAGTATTAGACACCTGCCAATTTTCAGCCAGCGTGAAAAATGCGGCAGAGGAATGGGCATCCAAGGAAGAGAGGCGGGGGACCAACCTAATTCCAGGAAAGTTCCCAATTAACAAGAAGTTCTCTAAAGCCACAATCCACCCTACGAGAAACATTTTACATCATTACCCAGCACCCACACATACCGTGAGTGTTAGTCTTTCCTTCCTGCGGTAACAAATGACTGCAGGCTTCGTGCCTTAAAACAACACACATTTATGGCCTTGCGGCTCGGGGGCCAGACCCGCAGCACTGGTCCCCCGCAGGCGCGCCCCCTCCGGGGCCCTCGGGGAGGCCGGCTCCTTCCCTGCCCAGGTTCTGGGGCCGGCTGCACCCCGGCTCCGGCCTCTGCCCCACCTTGGAAGCTGGTGCGGGCCAAGCGCGCACCCCTGCGCCCTCTGACCGCCTCCCTCGCCTCTCCCAGGCCTAAGGGACTCTAGCGGTCAGCGAGCCGCTGGGTGATGCAGGGCCACCTGCACACCCCACGCACGCTTCCCAGGGCCGGGCAAGCGGCCCGGCCTGCCCTGGAGCTCTGTCACCATCCTAAGATCGGCCTCGAGACCCCTCAGATGCTGTTTCTTCCTACTCACCTACTCTCAGTAAACCTAGTACATGTACACCCCATTTCTGCTTTTCAAGTAGAGATGGTCCTGTGGAGTTACAGTCAGTAAAATGCACAAGGAGGGCCCCGATTTAGGGAAGCCCTGCAGCAAACACTTCTGAAGAGTAACGGTCACCTATTGATTTACTGTATTTTTAAAATCTGGAATTTCATATATATGTGTTAAGCACAACCATTAAAAATGCTCATTAGATATATAAAAACTATCAGTACTATGGCATTTCCACCACAGAAGGAGTTAGTATACTTTTTAAAAGGAAATCAATATAAAACAGACTGTTATTATGGAGATGACTTTCTCTTTAAATGTTTCCCTGGAGACATTTTCCTACTAGGGACGAGATTTATTTCTACTACTTAGTGCACTACCATCTCTACCACCACAGTCAATTTTTTAATTCTAAATTTTCTGAATAGTAAAGTGCGGTTATTATGCAATAAACATAATGAAATAGAATGACACAGCAGTCAGCTTTGTATTTATCAGCTACTCTAGAAACAAGAAATGAGGAAGATGAAAAAGACAGAATAGAAAGAGAAAAAGAGGCTGCTGGATGCGCCGAGACCAGAAAAGGTTTCGAGCGCCAGCGACGAGGCTGGGTCCTTGTCCTCGTCGGTATCAATCTCTCACACGGTGACCTAGCTCCTTGTGCGGGGTAACGTCACCATGCAGAGGCCACTAGTGTTTACTGTAAGGGAAGGTCCGTGGAAATGTCAGGATGTTGAAACAAACGAGTTTAAGGTGGCACTATTTTTTTTAATTTTTGAAGAGTAAAAACGATGAAAAAATGACAGGGAATTAAAATGGTCTTTCCCAAAAGAGTGAGTGAACTGGCTATGTCCATACATTTCTGGAAATTTCAAAAAAGAAAAGCAGAATTACCCATACTATCACCATAATGATCTTTTTAAAGGGGCCTTTGCTAGCACTGGGGGGGGGG